CCTGTAAGAAAAATACGGAATAGAAACCTGTGAACACGACAGTTCCTCCAGATGAAGTAGATGATTAACGATGGGAGCCCCCGCTGCACAAATATACAAGTTAATGAGATGTTTTTTGCGTACAAGAACCGTACAAATCAGAAACTTGACACCACGTGCATACGGAGCAGAAGATCTGATCAGATTTTGGTGCTTCTTAGTGCAGACATTTGTATAATATCCGTGAACTGAGAGCCTTAACTGGACACACGGAGCATCTTGTTGGGTGGAGTGTTCTGGAGTCAGTCTTTTATTGGTCTGAATAAAAGCTTTCACCGTTTTTTAAAAGTTCCTTTTTCTGCGCAAAACAAAACTTTTCAAGACATTTAAGCACTGTATTGAGGCGCATGTGTGGGTCTTGTTAGATTCAGGTTGTTGCATCTGGAGGTTTGCGTCGCCTCTCTGACCCCCGGTGATTGATTGTGCTTCTGTTTGATGCTGCAGCAGCCCGTCGGTGTTCAGTCGGGTCAGGCAGGTGCACCGGCAGCAGCAGGAGGCGGAGGAGGAGAGTCAGCCTGCAGGCAACTCTACACCTATCAGGTAAGCACACACACTGTTACTGTACAGGACTGCAGCTGCTTGTGTACGACCGTGTGTGGAGCCGTCTCACGGAGTTTGTCACTGTTGAAGACACACGATCAGGGTTTTCATTTAAACCCCCGCTGTTCTTTCTAGCAGCACCTTAAGCATCTGACAAGCATTACTGGGCCTCCTGTGAAGGTCGTCTGTGATCTTAATCCTGTGCACATCTGTCCTGTCTGTCACTCTGAGTCTGTTCCACTCGAGCATTATTGAAGCTGCTTTGGCAGTTATGAATGAAAGTCTGGACAATATTATAGGTGCACATTCAGGAGGCTGAAGTCGCTGCCCTGCATGAAGAGCGTTCTACAAAAAACAGGGCAAAATGATGATCAGAAGCCATGACGGCCGGCTTTAAAGATAAAGATAAAGATAAAGATAAACTTTATTCATCCCGAAGGAAATTGTTTTGCCAGAGTACAGTTAAATTCCAAATAAGAATAAAAATAAAAGTAAAAAAATAAAAGTAAATAAAATAAGAATACAAGTACCAGAGAAAATACAAGTACCAGAGAATAGAACGTTTTTCTGTGTTTTCAGGAGGTTCAGCTGTTAATAAATGGGAACCTGTGTCTGCCATATCTGGGAATAATGTTAGTTAGTTTATAAATTTGAATAAAGCTCAGAATCTGCTCATCCTGTGCCAATGTGCCAAACAAAACACAAGCATTTGGGGTAATTTCTAAATCACATCAGGCCCTCAGGTAACACTCGTCCTGTGGGGCTTTAACCAGAGACTTGATTAGAGA